GGGTGCATGAGGTTCCTGCAGGGAAAGTTGACTTTTTTTCATACGAATTATAAAAACTACACAAACTAACATCCCAAAATCAACAGAACCTCACAATTAGTTACATTTGGGCTGTCACGGTCCACGCATGTTTCAGAAATGAGATTTATTCATCAGGAAATGAGTGAACTTTTAACAGAATATTATGTTTATTCATTGGCACCAATAATAATGTCACCGTAACGCTGGAAAAGTTTGGTCTGAGTGAACAGGAGAACTTCTCTCTCAGCCTCTTAAGCCCCAAGAGGTCTTGATGTTTTTGCTCAAAATACCARGCTYAAATGTAAATGAGTGCYTCTCAGCATTTACCATCTCTACTTAAATAATCTTGGTATCAAAATAAAGCTAACACTTGGGAGATTTTATTAGAGGTATAAGTGTTAAAACAGCTGCTGTGGTTTTAGAGATATTGAGGATGGAACTTTTTTTCTAGATTTGCTTCCCTCCCGTCCGAATAATTTTTTCATTAGACAGTATATAACCCATTTAAAACCATAATGAAGTAGACTAAAAACTCTTAGAAACCATAAARCCACTTGTGGACATCAACAGTGCAAAGATTCATGCTGCTAAAATGAACTGGAGCAAAGTTACAGAGGTTTTAATGAAGAAATAATTTAGTGTTTCGTCTTTCTGCACAGGACAAACCATGATGGTACCATTAATAAATGTTAAGAAATCTGAAGTTTTTAATTGCAAGAGCTATTTTTTTTCTTACCTGACTGAAAAGACTTGTTAATGAATGTTTGTTCTTTTGAAAAATTATCCAAACATTTATTTGTCACCATATATATTGTATAAAATAATGAGAAGTTATATTTTACTTCAGTTGGATCATATTCACTCAAAATCAAGTTAAAAAAAAACTTTCAACACATTTTATAACTTATTTAGTTATCTGCTTTGACTTGCTTTAAAAACAAATGTAAAAAATTCCTTTACAGATTTGTTATAATGTAGCAACAATCCCATGAGCTTTTAGTCAAGATTCTTAGCTTTCTGTTGACAACATGTCCAGGTTCAACTTACAAATCTTAAGTTAACAGAAGTTAAAAGATATAGAAAGCAGGAACTTCTGTTTTGCCCCTGGTACCGGAGGGCATGGGGCTCCAAATTCAAGATACTTACCTTTATGAAATACGTTATTCTTGTTATTTTGCATTTATTGGCTGAATCTGATACAGAAATCCTGTTATGAGAGAAGGTTGTATGAAGGACAATCTTTATTTTAACAAAAGATTTATGGACCAGTGAGATCAAACTTAAAGCCTCAGCAACTCATTTAGTATGAAGAACTACAGAAACATTTATTCTTTACAAAAAAGTCACTTCTAATTGTTGCAATTTAAAAAACACACAAAGAAAACAAGGAATAAAAACTAAAACCTTTCTTGTAAATTAAAAAATGCTTATTTTATATGTTTCTCTTCAAGGTGAAGCAAGTTTTAGCCTTTTTTATATCATAAAGCAGTTAATAGTTAATGACATATAATAATATTTCTAAGCTGCAGTACATTTTTATCATTTATCAGCCTGATTTCTTTAACAAGCATCACTTAAAGCCTAATTAAAGAAGCTGCAGGTGAGCTGTACCTTTAAAGGAGACGTGACTCTGGGTCTCTAACTCCTGACACCTGCCTGACAGCCCCAGCTGCCTGTCAGTTGACCTCCGACCCCGTCTGCAGCGCAGCGCCTCGCCTCCTGAGAGCAGGTTTCCAGACGACCTCCCCTGTCAGACGGAGGAGGCGTGCTTCCTGTCAGGGGGCCCGGCGGAGGCACCGTAACCTTGTGAAGGTGCAGAGTGTTGCAGATCTTCTTCAGTCCTGAAAGGACGGCGGTTCTGTCTCGAGGCTTCTGTGATAAGCAGCTGTTCTGCTCGCAGCTTTAGAGCGGGGCTTTTCAAAGATGTTTTAAAGATGGCCGTCACCTTCACTAAGCCGCCGGGTTGCTTCAAGGTTCAGATGACCAAGCTGCACAGTGTGGAAGGGTTTACATCACTCATACGGGAACATGTTATTAAAAACAGACTTTAAATTCTTTCATTGCTTATGGATAATCAATAGTTCTCTCAGTGAGCAGGAGGCTGGTGAATCTGCATCACAATCAGCTGTTGATGTAAATTGATGTATGGATGAAAAAAGTGACACCGTGATTGGGCTTGTTAGCAGAAATAAAGAGCTCTGTGACATGGACGCTGCTCGTTTAGTTGATTTAGCTTGACGTAAGGTAGAAAGGAAGGAACTAAAAGCTCAAATTCCAAAAATCCTGTCAAAACAAAAGGTTCGTTAGCTGCTCAGGTCTACGTTTGCTGACTACACTGCAAAAAATGTCCTCCTAACCAAGTTTTAAAATCTTATATCAGCCAAAAAGTCTTTTTGATCTTGTTTTGAGAC